TTGCATGAGCTATATTTTTCTTTGGATTATGTGCATGAATGACAGCACATTTTTCGTTCATTTCAATTACATGATTTATGTAATATTGTAGAAAAATACTGCAGTTACAGCCATTAACGACCAACATGTAACAGTTGTACTTAGCTTTTTGAAGCCAATGTTATAAGATGCTAGAAAACCACAAACAAGCTGCTCATGTTTTATAGTAATTCTAACAATAACCAAAACGATTATTGGTGGATTGGACCAGCTTTCTAAAGTTTTTAAGCAAAGTTTATTTAATCATATCAAACAGAGGAGTTTGTTTTATTGTCCTCTCAGATTTGTTTTAAAAAGGGTCTTCTTTTTCAAGTATATCTCATTTATGACATTTGTTTAGTGTAGCCAAAAGCTTCCTATTTAAGAAAGTTTGTGCTATTGTTTCAGTTCTCATTGTCAATTTTTCTCTGAACAGGGTCCAGATGGATTACCAATGCCTGGCTGCTGGCAGAAGGTAAATTGCCCTCTCTATTATAATGCTTCCTGAGTGGGTTTCAGCTTTCACCTCTGTCTGCATGACTTTTCTATGGCATTAGCTTAAGCAGTGTTTGAGTCCTGTGTGGAAAGAAAAATGTAAACCTGCAACTCAAAGTCAAAAAACAAGAAGAAAACATCTCAAATCTCGTCATTCTCTCTTCTCTGTTTTTCTTGCAGTGATGGCTCTAACCCGAAATGCATGGAGTTTGTAAATAATGCTTCTTTTTTGGTATTTATAGTTTTTTAATGGAACACAAGTTGAAAAGAAGTCTGTGTACAACGATAAAAACAAAAGATAATCATCCTGAGTTTCATGCCCTAAGCTGCTTCTACTCACATCGCCGTGTGGAAACAAAGCGTGTGCCCACTTTCACATCCATGGTGTGGTGGAGTTCAGATCCTCGCTGGTGGCACAACATGAGCTTTTAGTCTTTGCATGTCTCAGACTGGAGCAACGCAACACGGCCAGATTTGCGTTGGGTGGGCTCAAAGGAAGAGAAGAAGGAGGAAGTGAAATATCGGGGAGGGGGGTTCTGGACTGGCTCCCTAACACCAAACGCAAGGTGTTGTGTGTATTTTCCTCTCAACAAGCTCACCACCAACTCATGTGGCACCATTTTCTCAAAGACTAAAAAATGAATGACTGTGCTGAGCCGAGCATTGCTCCCCTGACCCTGAAATAGCATGAGTTGTGTACTGTATTTAAATGTATTGTACATACGTGTCTCTGTTATGTGGTTGCGTCATGGCTTTTCTGCAAGGAAAAAAAAAAAACATTAACAACAAAAATCCCAGAGTTCTGAAATGGTAACCTTTGCTTTCCTTTAATTTTCCTAAGGGAGTCACACCATGGCTGGTAGCCTGAGTATCGTCAGAAAGTAGAGCTGTGGGTGTTTGTTACTTTATTGTAGTGATGCCTGCTGGGTGTACAGTCTCAGCTGGTTTTCACTGTTGCACACATGGTGCTCGGCGTGGTGCCTGCAGCAGCCGCGCATCTCTGGACAGGAGCAGAGCGCTCTGTGGGCCCGCTGCACTGGCAGAAAATCAAATCGGGCTCACAGAGATCTGAGTGTTTTGGGAACCGGTCCGAGTACAAGAGTGGCCTCTGCAGATGCCAGGAGCTTCACTGGTTTCCACTGAGATCAGCTGGAGCTTCTCCCCTGAAAGGCAACGCCTCAAGGTCTATTGAGAGCGTTCACAGAATGCAATTCTGTTTTTTCTTTCTTTTCTTTTCTTTTTGATCTCTCTCTTATACATCATTTATATTATGTGTATAGTAGCCTTTGGTGCCTCAAGCTTTTATTCATTCCTTTATCAGAAATGTACAAATTTGTGTAATATTTTTAACCATTTGGATTTTGGAAAGGGACGTTTTTTGTTGGTTTTATTATTTTTTTATATAAGTTGTGAGAGGGCTGGAAAATAATCTGCGCACTGTTTTTCATATAAATTATCTTCACAGTATGTTGAAATGGCATGTGAGTGATAAGTTTATCTGGGTACACAAGCCTCTTTATTGTAATGGTTTTTAAAAACCTTGTTCACTGAAAAAAACTAAAACACACACCCACCATTGCTGCAGATAAGCTACTATTTCATTAAAAACTTGTCTAGGATATTATTTGTACAGTGTTTTCACTTTCTGCATGAGCACAGTGTAGCTAATAAAGGTAAACATTCACTTAAAAAAGAGCATCTGCAGATCAGAGGGAGCTTTTCTGACTTCAGTTTTGGAATAATTCAATTTATCAGACAACACACTTGCTAAAATTTTAGATGCGTCACATTCAGGCAGATGTTTCACATAAGAGTCCAAATTCCAAACTACTTTCTAATGCTTCATATATTGTCTTAAGTATATAGACAACACGTTAGGAAAACCTAAATCTCTCAAACAACATCCCATAATCAAACTGGTGGCCAGTTATGTCACATTCCTTATCAGATGAAGCAAAAATAAATGGAGCTTCAGAACTATGTTTCACCATGGTTTATTCATCGTTTTATGTTTTAAATACTCAAACTGCATTTAGGCATAGTAGGTGCTATGCAAATGGGATTAAACATTTTTTGTTAACATCACAAATATGCATGAACAATTTCCGTGCATTTGTTGTGAGGTAAAGGCCACAGCAGATGGATTTGAGAGGATTTCCTCCCATATTGTTTATGTTTGATTGTACAGTTCATGCCATCATGATAGAGAATGGATGCACATCTTTGTAGACTATAATGGTGCTATCTGATAGTTAGTAAAAGTTCAGCTGATGTGCTCTACCAGTGGCATGAACTAAACATGTTTCTTTATTGATGTTGAGGTTTTATGGTGAAATGTTTTTTTTTCTGTGCATATATTTGTGTATTTCTTTCATTACTTTAAATGATACATTATTTATTTTTCTATCATTTCTAAAATGAAGGCATTTTGGTTCTGAACAGCATTCCTTTCAGCCTCTGATGTCAGTTTTATGGCGGCATGAAGAACTCTGGGTCATGCTAAGGCATCATAAAACACTCCTGCATACAGTACAGTAAGAAGGATGTTGGTCATTCACATATTGCAGACCAGTGTGTACTCACTGCGCATTTGCTTCAACTTATAAGCCGAACTATGACATGTGTGCATCTTTTTTATTATTTTTATTTTGTGTGTTTAAAAAGCTAACAATGACAACAAAGTACTGATGGCCTGAGCAAAGGCTCAGCCAATGCAACCAGTTAAACATGACAGCCTTGTTTCACAATTTCTCTTTTGTCTCTCTGTCTCTTTGCATTGAATGTAGTTTGATATATGTATAGTGGATTATTAATGTACTGTTGACAAGTGTGCTCATTTGACATAAAGTGCAATTTACTTTGGTTCGTGTGTAGCATCAAATGAGGCTTGTATATCACATGTTAGTGATCTCTACAGCTCCATTTGTTCAGTCATGCTACCTTGTATACCACTACCTGGAGAGACTGTTTATTTACCAGGAGACTAAGAAGCATATGTAAACATGGAGTATTCAATCTTAATTACATGAGGTTTGATTCAAATGTTCTTTCACTTACATATTACGGTGTTATTTCCATTTGATTTTTACTACATCTTTTGCAAGGTCTTGTTTTTTTATTTGTCTTTTGATTTTCCAGCCTTTGTTTCAGTATTTGTTCTCACATGGTGCTGTATCTTTACCATATACAGCTAATTTTGTATGTGTTTTTTTATTGTTTGATTTATTGTTTGTTTGATACATGTGTTAAGGTTTCAAATGCTATTATTTAGCTCTTTGCAAAAGTGCCAAAACTACAATTTTGCATATCATTTTTAACAGAGCTGCTGAAGATCTGCATGATAAGAAACAATGAGATGGTCCACATCTGGAAAGCTGAAAAGAGCATACAGTAGATAACACCAACGATTTGAACTAACTCAGAAATCCTGCAAATAGAAAGTAGATAGAAGAATAGTTGAAAAATAGTAGTAAGATGTTGAAGTACATTAATCGTAATGTTTCACATTAATGTGAAAAGCATTCTTTTTATCACATAAAACAAAATTCTGACTCAATAAGTAGACTATAGAAATGTCCACTTACTACATTTGTGGGATTATGGTTTCAAATTATGATTTGGATGATTGTTTAGTTGTTGTTTTGCAGTTATCTCATTGATTTTTTTCCCCGCTCAGTTGTTCTTACCACACTTTTTGCTGACCTTCATGACTGTACTTTTGGAGCCAAATAAACAGTCTTTCAAATACACCAAATGTTTGCACGTATTGGCTGTTTTTTCCCATTTTGTTTTATATTGTGAATTTACTTATGCTGTTTTTACAAAAGCTATTTTTCCTGCTAAAAGTATAATGATTATTTGCATTTTTCTCAACATCTTTTTGTTTATGATTACACTTTCATTATATTTTCTAGATTATATTTTCTAGATTTCCTCCACAGGCATCTGTATAAGGGCTTATTGTGGTCAAATATGGTCACCGTAGACATCTTTTAATTTTTTTAAATGATGAATCTTATCAATGAATTCAACAATACTATATTAAACAATACTAACAATACTTTGATATAATTAAATTGGAAACATTAACTCAGGGGTATCCAAACAGGTCACCACTCATTTATTCCTCTTTATTTTTTACTATTGTAACTTCACAGGTGACAGCTCACCTTATTTGGGTCTTTAATCAACCATATGAAAAAAAAAAAAAAATTTAGTTAAACAATCTGTCCAAAATCCAACAAGCTTCGCCTGAAGAAGAAGGAATCATGATTCTCCTCAATGATTTATCGAACCCGGGTAACTACTTTGTAACTCGTACTCCATATATTTTCGGTTCTAATACTTACAAAGCCCTACATTCTTAGGGTTTTTTTATTATCTTAGTTTATGTTATTTTTTTATTTTTTTATTTTTTTCCACCCTTCATTTTGGCCCCTTGGGTGTTCCATATGTTCCATACACAGTGGCTGCACTAGAGGGCTGCGCGAGCTGCGCTATGGCTTGCCCTCACGCGCGCATATTTAGGCTGGAGCAGATGTGCGTCAACCACACGAGTTTAAGATGTCCGTGGAGGCGTTAGAGAAGAATAAGACGATAGACTTGAGGAAGAGGCACATTGGGTAAGAAAACTGTATTTGTGTCCTCCTTTCCAGCTCTGTGTTTTGACTGAAGCTTTCCCACAGATTCCAGCCGGTACAGTAACGAATATTAAGTTGTTTACATCGAAACTTAAGTAACGTCAGAAATGAACGTGGCAAGAATTCCCATAAATGTGATATATACTGCAAAAAGGTCATCAGTATGCAGTGCCCTCTATTTGGGCTGCTATTACTATTTTTTTGGAAACTATCATATAGCCTACCACAACTTAATTTTAATTCGTGATATCGTAATTTCATTAAGGGATTTCGGCCTTGGGACACTATTTACAAGTGGCAGTGATGATTTTTGCTCCTCTGCAGACCATCTTGTAAGATTTTCTTCAGCCATGACCCAATCAAGATTGTGCAAGCCAGAGGGCAGTACATGTATGATGAAAAAGGACAGCGATACTTGGATTGCATCAACAATGTGGCTCATGGTAAGTACACAGTGCTCTGTCCATAATATTGAAATCATTTTGAAATTATATCACACCAAAGAGCAAAAAATAAATACATTTATAAGAGCTAGCGTAACTATGTGCACATGATGTAAAATGACTCAAGTTGCATGACTTGAAGAAGTCTGGAAAGAAGTAGTAGTAGAAGTAGTAAATGTATTCTTGGTTATTTTAAATTGCAGTCAAATAGCAAAGATATCAATCACAGTAAAAAAAGAAAAAAGAAAAAAAAAGTGCATTTACTGGTGAGGAATTCCAATTTAGTGAATTCTTCTATTTTCTCAGTGGGCCACTGTCACCCCGATGTGGTGAAGGCAGGAGCTCAACAGATGGAACTACTCAACACCAACACACGTTTCTTGCACGACAACCTTGTGATGTATGCCCAGAAGCTACAGGCAACATTGCCTGACAAGCTGTCTGTGTGCTACTTCGTCAATTCTGGGTATGTGTAGGTGTTTGTTCATTTTGCAAGTGGAACAAAAAAAACTCCATGCAGACCAGTTTATTCGTAAATGTGAATCAGTGGAGCTGGTGAACTCACTCTACAGATAGTGAATGATGAACAGTCTGGCTAGTCTCAACGTCACTTCGTCACCACGATATCTAAGTACTACAAATGTTGACTGGACTGGGGATTATTTTTCTTTTATTATTGCATGAGCTTTTCTTCATCAGCTTTCCTGGAGAGTGAGTTGCCCTATGAAAGCATGAAGAAAAACTATGCATAGTCAGCATAAGTAACTTCCTAAAAGTCTTATTTTATGTTATCAAACTGCTTCACGATAACATGGTTACTAATTTACAACACTTCCTAAAGTACAGCAGTTTGAGCTGGAATTATCTGGACTTGACCACATGTTGTAGATAATGATCTATGTACATTCGATACCAGACAGCTTATTTATCTGTCTTGGTAGAGGTTATAAACCTGACAAATGTGAGGCAAAGTCAGGGTCAGTGCAACTGTGCAATAGTGCACTTTAGGCAGGAAGATGATTATAGTCTAGTGTTAGTTCCTGCGGGTTCTGTGGTGGTGCAGAAAAAACCGACATAGTAAATCTTTAATTTGGGAGAACAAATGTTCACCACTAAATTGTTCCTTCACAGCCAAGTCTCGGCTTTTAATTATATTCCACAAGTAGATAGATGTCAGCCTTGTCTGCCCTTACAGTGAGAATTGTACCCACTAACTGTATATAATGTCCACGGCTTCACCTGTGTATTTTGTGGTGACTGAGTAACTCAGTGTAACCCTTGCCCTTTCAGCTCTGAAGCCAATGACCTCGCCCTCCGTCTAGCATGGCAGTACACGGGCAACAAAGATATCATCACGCTGGAAAAGTAAGAACAGCCTTACCCCAGTGACACTGGGCGGCTAAAGTCTTATGTTTACTAGTGTTAATATACAGTGAAGATCACTGAGAAAAGGGACTATTTTAAACCCCCAACCTGCATTTTCATTATTTGCAGTGCCTACCACGGACACGTTTCGTCACTTATTGACATCAGTCCTTATAAGTTCCACCAGCTGTCAGATGCAGAGCAGAACCAATTTGTCCATGTGGTGAGTGCTTTTGCTCTTCCCGTCTGACTGCATGCACACTATTAAAACACCATGACTCAGCTTGCTCCCCTGAATTTCTGACTGCTGAGACGTCAGCATACACATATGTGGAAAAGCAACAGAGGTCTTAAATGCTTCTTTTTTCCTATACAAGTTAAACATAGCAAAACTAAGGGCTTTCATACTTTTTAAGCCTGTCCCTCTTTAATAAGCGATGGTGAGGACACAAGACCATGTGAGGAAAGTGATTGTTGACACCTAAGTGTCTCGCATTGGGCAAATTGGCTTGTATCCGTGTTTGTGTATGTGTGTGTGTGTTTTACCACAATTGTGAACCTGCTTTAGTAACTATGACGACGTTGGATCCCCTACAGGCTCCAAGCCCAGATGTGTACAGAGGCAAATACCGAGCGGATCACCCTAATCCTGCCTCTGCATATGCAGATGATGTCAAAGATATCATAGACAAGGCACACAAGAAAGGAAGAAAGGTACGGTTTGTGTGATGATTAGGTCAAAAGGCTGAGATACAAAACAAAGGCGTAGTCTGAGAGCTTTGATTAAAATACTCAAAATTCCATCTTGTCTTGAGAATAATGAGTGTTTTGCTTATCTGTTCTATCCTCTACTTTACACACAACCTAAACTCCCACCTCGTTCATGTCTTTTGGTTTTTGCTCAGACCAGATCTTTAGCATCCTGTTGACTAGCCCACAAAAATATTGTGTGGTGTTCTTTTTCTTTATCAGTCCACTGTTAAGAGTTCAGACGTTAATGCCTGATTCAGCATTCCACGATTGCCTCACTCTTGTTTACCCCATCAAAGTGAAACGACGTGCTTATGATAGAGGGAGATATACAGGTGTGATACTTTGGCATATCAGTGGTTGTGAAGCTATGGGCCTCATATGTTTTTTCTTGTGCAGATTGCTGCTTTTATTGCAGAGTCATTACAAAGTTGTGGTGGACAGGTCATCCCTCCGATGGGTTACTTCCAGCAAGTAGCAGAGTAGGTATCCAAACCATTTATACAAGAAGATATTTGACCAAAGGCAGCAGCATTTGATACAACACAACCGAGTAGAAAAAACATGCGCCTTAATTTTAAGTTTGAACTTTTACATCATACATTATGTGTGAGTAGCTCTGATTTACTCAATGTGCAGGTGGGTTAGCTTGAATTTATGTGAATTTATCTGGTCCTGAACAGGCATGTCCACAAAGCAGGAGGTATTGTCATAGCAGACGAGGTCCAGGTGGGATTTGGCCGGGTTGGTTCTCACTTCTGGGCCTTCCAGCTTCAAGGAGAGGATTTTGTTCCTGACATTGTCACGATGGGAAAGCCCATTGGCAACGGCCACCCGATGTCATGTGTGGTCACAACCAAAGAAGTGGCAGAGGCATTTATGACCTCTGGAATGGAGTACTTCAATACGGTAAGAGAAATGTGGAATGGGAAAAGAAAGGGAATAAGTAAAATAGTCAGTTTTTGTTGAAGCTATTCTGTAGAAATTGACACATGTTATAAAGATCAACAGAAACTTCAAAACAGAGATAGCAGGGAACACATTGTTTTTCTTTCTGACCGGAAAAGTCATTGACTGAAAGTCCTCCTTGTCCACTGGAGCCTATCAAAACATCTGTTTTCCATATTACAGAAAACCATATTTCCCTTTCAAGCTTGCTTTTTTCATTGAAACACTGATTTCAGTTATTTCCTTTGAGAAAAAAAGTTTTCTTCTTCTGCATTAAATGTATTTTCAGTTTGTACTTAGTCATAAACAATATTCCTTTGTTGATTTCCTTAGTGATGGACCGTTGATATGCTCCTTTTGTAATCTTCCTTGTTTGTGTGTTGCAAATACGTATGTCTCAGTTTGGAGGCAACCCGGTATCGTGTGCTGTGGGTCTGGCTGTCCTAGATGTGATAGTGAAAGAGGACCTGCAGGGTAATGCGCTACGAGTAGGCCGGTACCTGTCCAGTCAGCTGGAACAGCTGAAACGGAAGCATCCATTGATTGGAGATATCAGGTGAGACTCCACTTATTTTTCTTCTTAGATTTTACAGCCATATATAGATTTTTACATTAGTTCCTATTTTATAGATGTCAGTTATTATGAAACTATAAGGTAAGTGTAATACTTTCATATATTTATTAAAATGGAACTCTGTGACTTCATGTGGCAGGTTTATCTTAGAATGGCCCTGTTGAAAACCTAAGACTTGTTTGTGTTGTAATTAAACATGTTACAATGTAAAAAAGACCATAAATCTAAGCACGAATGATGCGGTTGTCAAATTACTTACCTTTTAAACAGTTAAAATGATGAACGAACTAACTGGCATGATGTTCTTCAGGGGCTGTGGTCTGTTTGTTGGGGTGGAGCTGGTGAAGGACAGGGTGACGCTCACTCCGGCTACAGCAGAGGCCCAGGAAGTCATATATAAGTACGTTTAAATGTCCCAGCTCTGATTCACATTTACCACAAAGGTTTGCCAAACAAAAAGGCTTCTCAGAACGTTCTCTGTTTATTTGGTTCTGATGCTAGAACTGTCCAATAGTGATCTGACATCACACAGAAGTCTTTGTATCTTAATTCTAAAATTACACAATGATTGCACATCTATTTAACAATTAAAAGTATTCAAGCTGATAATAACCACTTCCGATGCAGAGTAAGTTAACACAGTGCAACGGAAGACAGATTTCAGCAATGACCTGAGTTATATCCAAGTTCTAATGCTTAATGTAACATTTGTGTGAATTTTTAGAAATGCATTTTAACTGAGTAAGTAGCAACAGGAAACCACAGGTGTATTGATTCGACTAATTAGGCTTGCTCTATATGGCCCAGCTTTACTAAACCTGTCCTAAGAAGAACATCCACTCTGGGTTTTACAGGACAAGTGGGGGGAAAAAAAGCAAGAGATTTTTGTTGTTAGACATGTGTAAGTGAAAAGAAAGTTAAAAGTTTTTAAAAAATGTTGCCACAGGCTGAAGGAGCAGCACATCCTCCTTAGTGCCGATGGTCCTCATCGCAATGTGCTGAAATTCAAGCCTCCGCTGTGCTTCAGCACAGAGGACGCTGACCTGGTGGTGGAGAAAATCAACTTTATCCTTACAGGTAACAGTTTTTCTGTCTCTGAGGTGATTTCTTAGATCCCCACACTGTATGACTCAATTTCCTGTCGTGCAAGGGTCTACTGATGAATTGGTGAAAAATAGTTCTCAGTCATGTGTTTTCATTGTTTTTTCACAGAGCTGGAAGAAGCACAAGGCTTGAAGGAGCACGGCAGCCCCAATATAGAGACTGAAGGCAGTAAAAGAAAGGTGAGTGGGACTTTGCTGCATGTCAGTTCCTACCAGGCCCCCCCACATGTTTGCACGACAGAGGACATATGAAATGATAGGCCTTACTCTGTAATGCTTTTTAAAAAAAAAAAACACTTTAAAAAACATAAGATATTTCAGCTTTATTGACTTTATTTTTAATTTCTTCACAATCTTATTTCAAGCTGCTGACTGATGAAAATGGACACCAGAAACACAGTGGTCTAATACACAGCAAAGGAAGTGATCAAGGAGCTCCTCGGCAATTCAAACAAAACAAACGCCTGAAGACATAAAGATGCCTTTTGAACAAAATGTCTTTAACAATAAGAAGAAAGTGACTTGTAGGGGGAGGCAGCAACTTCTTTGTTGTGTATTACTAATCAGCTGTAAACCGATTTGCCTGTGTTGTCAGGTCCTCATTCTTGCCTCCTTTTCAATGTGTAATCGCAATGAAGTTTGTTTTGAAGCGCATAACCTGACAGATTGACTAATTATTGATTTTAGCTGCATGGGCTTGTGATTAACAGGCACAGGGAAGGTAGCTGGGGTTCGACTTAATCTGTAGAACTTTTAAGCATAGACTTTATTCTATATTAACAATGTTTTCTTTAGTTTAATCAAACTTTATGTATCTTAAAGATATGCAATGCTGTGATATTAATTTGGGTATGGACCCAGTTCATAACAATAAACTCTTTGTAAAGGGCATTTTTTCACTGACTTCTGTCTTCCTCCATAATACCATACATAGGACATATGAAGGTAAAAACTAAGTAGACCTGTATGTTAGCTTGAATTAAACAGAACAAGGACGACATTAAACATTTATATTCATGTACTAGTGTACCTTGCAGACTGAAAGTGACTCTAGGTATGTAACTTTTCTGTTAATGCTCATGAAAGTTGAGCATTATTTTTTAGCTGTAATACTGCTGAGCCACAGAATCTTGCCAGCAGAAGAATATACTGTACGAGCAAACTTGTTTAGCACCCATGTTCGGTCAGGTATGTGGACAAACTTGAATTAAAACTTTGTAGCACACTGTGATAATCAAGAAGTCCCTGTGTGCTTTTAAAAGTAAGCACGCCATCAAGCAACAAAAAAACATTTCCCAGAAAGTGGGTGTGTGAGAAATGTGAAAACATTTTCTGTGAAAAACATTTCACATAAATGTGTCAGTGATATCTTCTATCCACAGGGGTGTCAAACTCTGCTCATCTAGAGCCACCATAATGCAGATGTTAGACGTTTCCCCGCCTGCTTTGACAGACCTCACTTGGTTTTAGTATCCTTTGAAGAATTTTAATCTTTTGAAGAGTTCCATTTTATTCTGACTAAGGTGTGTAGACGCAGAGAAACGTATAGAACGCCAACAAGGACTGGAGTTTGAGAGCCTTGCTGTACAGGATGAATTTCTTATTTGGAACAAAATGACGTTGATCTCAGTGATGAAAAGTATTACCTTTTTTTTTAAATATTCTGAACAATTTTATTTTAATTGACGAATGTAATATTCAGCTAAAATATAAAGCAGTTATGAAGGTGACACAGTTTTTAACTAATTCATTGTATAGCATGCAAGAATGGTCATAAACATCTATTTTTTTTCTATGTGTATCATTTTAAATTTAAAATAGAATTGGCAACAACACAGTGACATTTTCTGAGTTATTTTCAGGAAAATGAGTTAAAACCTCTTTAACTTGTTGGACAAATTTTTTATTTGGTTAAGCAATAGCCCCACCTTATGGAAGAGAAGTGTTTGGCCATAAATGTAATTAAATCATTACATTTGTGTAAATGTAATTCAATATGTAGCTGGTGCTCATAAAAGACTTAACTTACGCAGATTGTGGAAACATAAAAATGTCTCTAGAGTAAGTTTAAAAATGTACTTATAAAATGTGTATTTCTTAGCTTAACTGGATAATTTCACAATACCAAAAGGGTAATTGTTTTAAAATAGAAAAAAGGAAATGCCACTCATTAAAAAATATAAGGACAGCCTTGTTTTATAAAATTAGGAATCAATGTCTATACAAATGATGAGCTAAGAATGTGTGAAAACACAGATTTATTTCAAAACCTTGTGCAAAAACAACTATGGCAGGTTTAAGGCTTTTTTAATCATTTTCATACAAAAACTGGTAACTTCAACATTATTCAGACAACCATTTCAAGGATTCACACAGTTCAATCCATCAGTGGCTACATCTCATCGGTGCTCAGTGACTCCAATTACTTCATTCTCTTTAGACGGTTTTACTACTGGTTCACAATTACAAATAAAATGTGACAAAACTATGTATGGTCAGTACCACTCATTTACTTGCAAAGCATAGGAGCTCCATTTGTGCCTAATACGAAACAAAAGAAGGACTTTGAACGCTTTGATGAGAGGAAAATGGGAATTGAAATCACATAACACGAAAGAAATGTAGTCAAAATTATTCTAAGAGCAGCCAGGTCTCATTTCTTGAGCTTGGTCAGTGCTTTTAGTCCTTGATGATTCTGTCTGAGTCAATTTCATCTCCAATGTATGGCATGTATTCAAATATTTAGCATCCTCTCTCTCTTTTCAATTTCTTGCATCATGTTTGTCCTTAGCCCATGAGGTAACCTCTGAAAAGACAAATCAAATTAGCCAAAGCTGTAATACACACAATTCCCTTACAGATCAAAGTAAAAGAACTAGAGTAAATGACACACAAATTGGGGAAAAAACAGCAAGAATCTCAAACAATAGAAAGAAATGAGCCAAGACTTACGGCAGCTTCATACGCATGAATACTCTGGCCATGAAGAAGCTCAGGAGAACGCTGACAAACCCGATGAACAGCAACAGGAAGCGGTTGAGTTTGGGAATGTTTGGTGCATTGGACCGATCCAAGATTATAAAACCCAGCCCTCCCATAGTGAAGAGGAAACTTGAGGCAAGTCCTTCCATGATGTACTGCCCATTTACCCTGGAATATAAATGCATCCGTTTTAGCCATGATTATTCTCCTTTTACATTTTCATATGTTTGATATACCTACAGAAATATAACTCATACCTGTACGCCAAAAAGGCGACTGGTCGCTGGTGTCCATGTTCATCAGTCATTGAACCCACACTCGGTGGTTCTACAATAACATCATAGATGATCCCTGTTTGTGTGGAAAAGAAAAACTGCAATTAGACCACAATAATAAACTTTACTTTCAGACTGAAATGTCTTACACATTGCAAAATTAAATCCAGAAAGAGGGAATAGAATAGGATTACTGAGAGCAACTACATGTCACTACGGAGTGACAAATATCAACCCAACGTAAGTTATATTTTTAACTCATTTCCACTTACAGTTATATTTGCAACTTTAATTAGGAAGCCTGTAATAGCATTAACAAATAGTACTGAAAGACCAGTTAAGCAATCCAACCAAGGTCTTCAGCACCTGGAGATAAAATCGAGCTCTTAAGAGCATTGCAAATAAGGGATATATGAATTCAACATGATTATGTGGACCTACTTGTGTCTTTAATCAAGTGAAATAAATTAAACTTAGATCTAGCAGAGTCTAAAAAGTGCATCTGTCTTAACGTTAGCTTAGCATCTTGGCATATCAATTTACCTCCTGTGATGAGAAAGTAGGACACGATGACTACTGCATACACAGTCATAGCCGACGGCATGTGTAGCCATGATGGTTTCTTCAGTTTTATATTCGGGCATTCGAGTACTGCAAAAGGAATACCGTATAAAGTCTCCATTGTTAACGCGAAATTATGTTCTTGCAGCGATGCACCTACTGCCGCTGTCTCAACTGCGCCTGCGCTCTGACTTTGTTGACGTGTCCCGGAAGTAGATTTTACGCATTTCGTTTATTTTTTCTGCAGTCAAAGTTTAATAAATGAATGGCTTCTGTAATTACACTGTTTGATAAACTAACAAATAAAATAAAGATTCTTCCCTTATTCAAATCAGTCGACAGTCAAAAACGTCATCTGTACGTCACGACGTTAAAGATGCTGTTCCAAGGTCGTAATGTGGAGAAAGAAAATGAATTAGTTTTGATTAAAATCTAGAGAAGCTAAACGATTTTAGATGGAATCGTACTGATCTTAGAATATTGATTAAATGACCATTGTCTTTAACACGTTATTTGAGCGATTGTTTTGAAAATTTGATCTTTAGTTCACCATAATTGATATTTGACATCCATCTCACACCATGCCAGTTTTTCAATTTATATCCAAAAACACGCTGTTGTGGTACATACCAAATTTTACATAGAGACGTATTAACTGTCTTCTTGTGTATCTACAAGCCTTAAATGTATAACAAAGAAATTAATTTGGCCTAATAACTTAATTGGGAGAATGTTTATTTCATAACCACCTTTTATAAATCAGGTCTTTGTAAAACTTCCGTAGATTAAATACTCAAAAACATTACATCAGATGATTGATTTGTTATTTTTTATTGTGGCAATACAAATACACATTTCACTTCAACTTCTGGCTCTGTGCTTGTGCCTTGAGCACCTTGACCACAATCTTCTGCTCCTCAATCAAGAAAGCACGCTTGATCCTGAAAACACAGCAAAAAGAGAATAACTTGAGATAATGTAACAACACATTCAAAACTTACAATAAATTATCTGCCTCTTTCAACTTTGAAGTATATAATGACATATGCAACATACAAAATTGACATTTACACCAAAAAAGATAATATAGTCAATTTCATTTTTAGTCTTCCATTCCAGGTGCAAATGGCAAACAAGGCATCACTTCAGTTTCTCCAAACACAAAACACAGGCGATGACGGGTAAGGCTTCTCACCTGTCACGCACACACTTGGCGCACATGGATCCTCCGTAGGCCCTGCTAACATGCTTCTTGGTCTTTGAGAGCCTCATCAGAACCTGAGGTCTTACAGCGCGGATCTGTAATGTAGAAAAATACAGCAAAGATGAGGGAAAGAACAAAGCACGATTTCAGAATCACTAGCTCTGAGAAGAACCTCAAAGTCACAAGCACAGCTAGTCTAACAACCTCCACCCAAAACAAACCCCTGGGTCGTTGGCCCAGTATGGTCATCATACAGGTTAATCTGAAGTTTTGTTTAATTTCAAAATACTATATAATTTAAATTCAACACTGTGTTCTTACCTTTCTAAATGATTGTTTTCTCTTGTGTGCTAATGGACATGACAACTATGCATATAAAAAGGACACGTTGGTGTTTCTTAAGATCTAGAAATAACTTCATTGGTTTCCAATGTCTAAGTTATTTGACTGCGACTTCTATGATAGATCCCCCATACTCAATGATTTGATTACCAGTACTCAATTCCAGCAGAAACCACTGTGCCTTTTGACAATACTAAACAGCTGTTGAGCTAAAGTTCTCATGTGGTTTGAAAACATTTACTCAGTCTTGCTAGGTACTGCTAGTGTGAATTATATTGCATCAGATGTTCAGCAATATTTATATTGAATTTTAGGTACAATAAATGTCTATACTACAGCATAGGAACAATTTGATTTAGCATCATGTTCCAAAATATTTTCTTGGCCTGAGCTGTAGCACAAGTTACTTCAACATCTTTCAGAGTAGAACCTGAATAAATCATATATAATTTCATATTTACCAATTACATTTGTCAGTACAAATAAATACACAGGCTTGCTTACAAAATCTTCGCATTTGTGTTATTTCACTCTCAACTTTATGGCTTTTTTTAACACTCTTCTCAAGTGACGAGACTAAATGTTTGTATGTACATATACATATATTAAAAAAAACAGGATTAAGCAACCAGCACTCTTAAATGCAAATGATTTCCCTCTCACAGGTAACATCACAGGCAAAGCAGAAGGAGCTCTGAGGAGCTACTTACTCCACGCAGTCTTCCTGGGCAGATGCCACATGCCGACTTGGGGGCTTTGCCAACCTTCTTGGTGTACAGGTACACAATTCGGTTACCAGGTGTTCGAGACCTGATGGGTGGAGGGGCGATTGGTAAAACAGAGACACTTGCTCGTTTTCAACGTATGATGTATTAATTTGGACTGAAGCTTACGTACAGTCTGGTTTTGTTGGAGGCTGTGTTGTAGGACAACCTACGGCGGTAAGTGAGGCGTTGCACCATCTTGAAGCTGCAAGTAGACAAACATTTTATTAATGAACGAACGTTAGCACTGTGAGCTAATTGTAAAAAGATTAGGCTCAAAACGATAATGGATAATAGTTCTTTCCTCTTGCTAAGAAATTGTAGAACTACAAGAATCGTTATATGCAACTCTGAACTCACTTTTCGGCAGAAAGTCTATAGCTATTTTTTTGCAACTATCAATGCGCCTCCCTCCACTGAGTGCCGTACACAGCGGCCTTATCACGACTGAGAAGGCAGCTGAAAATGAGCGCTTAAAACTAGCTAACTTCTAAAATCATCACATATTCAAATGTTCCAACGTATTATGATAACTTTCTCTGTGTCAAACCGGCCAGACAGATTTCCAAATGACAAGATTACAGTCGATTACAAATAGTTAACATAGCAGAAGAAAGCAGGGGCCGCCATACCTGCTTTCGCCGTAACCGGAAGAGGAAGGATCCAGGCGGATGTCAGAGGTTAAACGTGCTCCTCTGGGCGCTCCATGCAGACGCTGCCCCCTGCTGGGGAATCTTCTTTCACGACACGAGAGGTGCCGTATTGTTTTTTTTTTTTTAAATAAGGGTGACGGTGCAACTCATCAATATTAGTTTTTTCATCATTCTCAAATACTTGAAAAACAAAGTCTTTTCACGAAAAAGGTCTTCGGCGAGAACTTATTAGTGAACAATCCATCAAGATGGATGTCCTTTACTTTTGTCTTGTGACAACAGTTGACTCGTGTGGGGAATAACTGATGCCGTCCAGCAAGCCAGTAACAAAACACAAAACCATTTTGTGTAAGAAAGCAAACGTTGGTGGAATACTGCCATACACCCGCACTGTCCATGAAAGGCAACTCATGTCCAACAGACCAGGTTTCCATTTGCAACATCGAGATAGCACACAACACTGTTCAGTAGGGGGCAGCAGACGCCTGATAGACCATAATTAAGAACTCTGTTCTGCAACATTGACAGGCCTGGAATTACGTTGTAATACGTGCATGTCAGAGGAAATGAATTCACTTTTCTTCTGTATTATTTTATGTCCAGTATAGTGAAGTTATTTGTGAATGCAGCTTTATATTTAATGCCAATGATTATCCTTTTATCATACAAACAATAATGGAGATTTTTATTCAGTCAGACTGTTATCAGTTCATGAATAGTATTACATTTAAGAATGATTTCAGGAAGTACTTTGGAAGAAAGAATGCAAATGCATTTTAAAGCTTTGAGGTAAAGTATTACATTGAACACCTGCTACATGTTTTGATACATATGAAACCTTAAACTGTGTCAGAGCTGCTACGTACTTTGACTTTTACACAAACGTGTTTTATATTTATATACCATTAATCAAAAAACAATTTAAAAAAATTTATATAACAACTTCATCTTCTTTTTCTTGGCAATATGGATTCATGATTCCAAACTGTACATGATACTGGAAAACTGAGCTAAATTTTTTTAAGTCAATATATGAAGCTCCACACAGGCCAATACTATCTGCACATTATTTTTTCCAATAAAAATAATTTTGTAATGATCTTGCAAAACTGCACATAAAGACATCTCACACTGTACCTTTCAAACTTTTTTTTTTATAGCTGTCGACCTATCAAGGTTGTATTGTGCACTACATGATCTGTTAAGAGACTGATTTGATTAAATCCAGATGTGAGGTGATCAGGGATTAACCCATTCTTCAGGAGAATCACGGTCTTTATGAAGAATGCTGGCTCGAAGGGATACTGAGGTATACACACACATGCGCGCACACATACACACATCAACATAATCAGAAACATCTGCAGCCATTCTTAATTTCACCAGAAGTAATTATGCCACAAGGCCACATGTCAATGTTAATTTAAGGTGTTAATCCAAGGAAATATCAATAGATCAATGACGGTTGTATATTTTGACTTAATGCTTTACATTTAGTGCTTGCCCCTGATATCCACATCCATTATTATGTCACTGGTCCTGGCTTGTCAAAGATGCTCCATATCACCTAAAGTGCACTTGATTATGCAAGCTTCCACATCTCCTTGGGCCTTCTGTGTAATCTGCTGAGATTTAAACCTGCTGCTCCTGTTTAATAAATCCACCACGATTAAAATAGGATTACAGCTCTGCTTTTGCCTTCCCAATGTCATCATCGCATGAAACATTTTTTTTCCACTTTTTTTTTCAGTGGTTTTGGTTTTTGCCCAAGCTCATTCCCTCCTTCTTGCCTAAACCCCAGGGACAGGAATGACTTTCAACCCACCCCCTTTACTCTGAAAACACTCATCCTTGCAGCCCAGAAGATCAGTCCATCTGTGGGGCTGTTGATATAAGGATTAACTTTATAATGCAACGCACTTCTTGTATCAATGCCATGAGTTGTCACATCCGACTTCTTAATGACAAAATAAAACACGCTGTAGTGTAAGGTTATTTGCTTTAATACTAAACAAACCTCAAAGTTTTCCTGCAATAATCCAATGCTTATTGTCTAAAATCATGAAATATCACAGTCCAAATATGGCTACCAAAGGTCATAAGGACACTCTTCACATAATGTCCCTTCTGCATTTCGTCATGTAAAATGAGGGATGGAGAGCACAAATCAATGCGCCTCATGTCCTATTTGTGCTATTTGTCCCTATAGCAACATCCAACATTGGTGAATACAGCAACATCAACTAAAATTGATTTGATCTTACGCTTCAGCTAACCTCATGACCCCAGCACAGAGATTTATTCAAGACAGGAAATACGTAAATTCACAACCTAGCTCAACAGCCTGTCAATGATGAATTGAAGATTGTTTTTATGTCGTCTGGACTTTCTGCTTGACCAGTCTCAGACATTGCCAGGGAGCTGAATGAGAGGATGAGTTTATTTGTTCCATTGAATCACTGAGTTGTACTTTTCACCGGGAAAAAAAAACTTGCTTGGTTATCATCAGTCTATTTAGCCCCCACCATTGCTGCCTCATTGCTGACAAATCCATACAACTATGTGGGACACAAAGGCTTGGATTTAGCTTTCGGGCCAAAGTGAGGGTGGGCTGAGCGGGGGGCAGGGCCAGCGTGGAAATTTCTGTTGTTTTTGCCACAGCACAGATTTCAGACAAATCAAAACAACTGCCATCATCACCCCTCCAAACCCCTTTCCCCCTCCCACATGACCTGTGACCAGTCATCACTTTTATGCTGGAAATGCAGCCAGATCCGAAGCAGTTGGTTATGTGATGCAGAAGAGGGGCTTGTGTGTGCACTGTGGAGCCTTTTGTTGAAAAAAGGCTGACAGCTTAGATGTGATCTCATTTGATAGGCAAAAATATTGACAGATTTATTCTGAAGCGCTAGGGCACCAGCTCAGGGTGTTCTTTATGAAGATGATGTGTGCTGATCAGACAGGTTCGTACAGCCAGGCATGTTATTTAAAATGATTGACTGTCACTTGTGACATCCGTTTTTTGTGTGTCATCTGGGGCAGTTTAAACGGACTCTCTGGCTGTAAGCCTGTAAAAACTAGTGTAGTGTAAAAACTGTAAAGATGCAACATTGCAACACAAGCAGCGTTGTGGTGCTAAATCTATCTTAATTTGAATGAAAAAAAGAAAATAACGTCCTTGAAGACAGGAAATCTGATACAGAAATTTCACACCGTGACAAGGTAACCTTTTAAAAGCAAATATAATAGAAATAAAAAATATATATTTGTAGGTTAAATTACCGAACATTTGTTTTGATTACGCAGAGAGAAAGATACAATACTTCAGGGACAAAAAACCTTTCCACACAGCCCAGTGTTACATTGGATCTGATTGATGATGTACCATACGTGTAAAGCAATTCACAAATCAAATCCACATTCGAATCCATTTGACAGCTTCGCCAGCAGTTTGTTCTTGTGGAAAATGTTGACAGTAGTTTGGGATAGTGAGGGAGCACAGCAGCAATACCTCCAGCATGAAAACTGGTGCTCTTGGGAGTGGATGATGTGAAACAATCCAACAAAATCAAGCAGCAAAAGAACGATTAGTCCTCTCGGATTTGGAGTTTGACAGCATTTGAAAGATTTACATAAGGGTTGTACAACTGCATTGGAAAAGGTTAATATTTTACTTATCTTTTTCTTTAAATGTTTTGATTGCAACATGAATGTGATAACAATTTGTCTACTATCAAAACATGCAAACATTCATTATGATGACAAATGTAAAGACATGTGCAGGACACAGTATGTGTCCAAGACGTGAGCTAATTATGCATAAGGGGCTTTGAAATCTGTTACATTTGCCCTACAAAACGTGTGCCAGTGTGAGCCACAATAGACGTCATGAACCACCAAGCTATTGATAATGTCATGTAACAAGTTAACAATTTCTGCCTGTGTGTTTCCTGTTAGGTAACAAGAAGCAGTTGTGGTGAAGAAGAGGGAAGCAAAAAAGGGGACAGTCGATAATGTCAGAGACTAATAATTTGTTATATAGCACCCAGTGATAAGTGCCACGCAGACACACAGGGTAAAGATTGCACATCTGTGTCTGTCCACCAGGGTTTAGCTCTCTTGATACTAAATGGTGGACTGGGGTTGTTTGACATGAAGGGGAGAACATGGTGACATGGGGCACCGTTTGGGACGGTGCTTATGTCAAATTAGAGTGTAAGCATGAATGAACTTTAATGTTTGTACTCCAATTTGTGCTTTTATATTCCGAAAAAAGCTTAATATTAAAACTAGTGCTTGGTAATACAGGTAAACCCCAAAATTGAATTCCAACAGTGAAAAATGAACAATGCTCTGCATGCAAAGATAAACAGTAAAAAAAAAGAAACTTGGGAAAAGTAAGAAAATCTATTGGGAAAAAAAGTGATGCTGCTCTAAAATATGTGCAGATTACTCATCCATTTGGACGTCCAAATACACCCCCAGCTCCATTAATTTGGAACTGATGAATAACTAAACTATCCATGCACTTCTGAGGGATCTTTAACCATCAAA